CCTTCTATTGTCACCCTGGCTCCTCCCTCCATCATCACCACCCTGGACTCTGTTGTTTGTCCTCTTCCGTAGTCCCCCTCCGTCCCATCCCTTTTTCTCCACGGCGCGAGGTCGCGCCTTCCGGGAGGGGGGCGATCTGTCACACCCCAGGACTGTTTTAATTTCCCATGTGCTCTGTGTGACCTAGTTTCTGTCTCCTGTTGATTATGTAATTATGTTCAGGTGTGTCTAGTAATTATCCTAATTTATGTTCTCCATATAAGTTGCATTCTGTTCAGTGTTTCTTTGTCCGGTATTACGTTTGTGTTGGTGTGTGTCTACCCTTCATTCTCTGTGGATTATCTTCATCTTGGATGTTATTAAACTACATATTAATTCTATCATTGTTCTCGTGTGCCCGTTATCTTAAACCAGAAAAAAAAATTGCTTCTAGCTATGCAAGCTCAATTTTTCATGTCGTTGAATTCTGCGATGTGCACAATGTCAGTAAAATGTCACTACTAATGATCATTTCAGGCATGAAGATACGCTGTTTTACTACAGTGCCTATGATGTCTTAAAATGCTGTCTAGGTAGGCAGCTCCCTAGGTTTTGGAACCAAGCTGATATATTGAAGTTATGTTTGAAATTTCTACAATCTCTAGATTTGAGCTTTAATACACAGTATCTGAAGGCAAACAGTAGTAATTGAAGATGAGTGACCTTCAGTGTAGGCAGCAACATCTGCAGCTCACCGCGTGTGATATATGAGAGAACAGGGAACACATCTGTCCATTTACTAAAGTGTGGATGGGCAATCAGATCAGTTTGCTGAGAAACATTCTTCCCTAACAAGCAAAGAAAGCCGAGTCGTGTCCTCACAGTAGAGAGTGCAGCAAGACACATTTGTGATTATTCTGAATCGTCTGTGGAGGGCAAGTGCTGTTTAAGGCAGTAAATTACACCACAGCTTCACTTCCCAGCCATCGTGTGTCTATTGTACTGCAGGAACGGCTGTTAAAACCCACGGGTTCCTCCATTCATTTGAAAGAAAGCTATTGTAGCATCTGTTCTAGGAGGACGGGGAAGAAAAGAAGTGCTTCTCTGAGGTGAACGTCTCGGCAGGTGATAAATGTACTGGAGGTGCATGGAGATGGAAGTGTTCTCGTGTGCCTTCCTCGACACAGCCGTGACAATAACACTACTACCACTACTATTACTGATAGTAATAATTATCAATATTAATATTATTGTATATAAATAACATAAAAATATAGTATAATAATTGTAGATGGATGGATGGATGACTTACTGATTTGGGGTTGGAGTGATATCTGGAGGTATCACAGACCACGCTGTATCCAATCAGCCGGTCACCAGGGAACAGACAGGTCGCCCCGACTGGAGAGAGCAAGATCTCCTTTGTCTCTGGATACAGCCATTCAATGGAGATGTCAGTCAGTACTGATGTCATGGACTTCTTCAGCGACTTAATCATCTGCCAAAGACACAAATAACCGCCAGGTCAAACACTACCTAGTGTTTCAATCAAGAGAGCACAGTCTATAGAATAAAACAGGGAAATATAGATGCTAGTATTAAACACCAGGGAAAGAAGGCATGTCAGCTATGATTATTATCCTAACACATGTTTGACTAAACAAAACCAATTGTTAATTGCTAATACATGTGCTTCTCTGAGGTGAACGTCTCGGCAGGTGATAAATGTACTGGAGGTGCATGGAGATGGAAGCCTCTCGGAAGCAGCGGAGTGCGGAAACAAAGCCTGCGAATCCCAGCCGCGTTATGGCTAGTGCGGATCTAAAAGGATTAGACGGAGAGACATCAATTTACTGTTGCTAGCGGCTGCGCCGATCTGATTATGATCTTATTACCTGAATAGTTCTGCAGCTCTGTATCCTTGAACCTATGATATTAAAGGATTAGTTCACCCAAAAAATAAAAATTTGAATTATGAGTCATAGCACAGTCTATAGAATAAAACAGGGAAATATAGATGCTAGTATTAAACACCAGGGAAAGAAGGCATGTCAGCTATGATTATTATCCTAACACATGTTTGACTAAACAAAACCAATTGTTAATTGCTAATACATTTGGACACTCCACAATTTACGTGGCTGCTGTAATTGCTTTGCGGTGACATTCAAAATAGCAGGCTGTTGGAAGATAAACATGTCAGAGGAAATGAGGACCTTGGGTTGCAGTCGTTCTCCTTCTGCCAGGAACTCAGCTGTGCCTCTGGAAACAGCGGCCAGTCCTAAAACCAGCCTTCTGCATGCACCCTGGCCTATCCCGAACGTATAACACCTGCCATGATGCAAACACACACACACACAGACACGACAGGTGCGGTGAGTCTGTGAAAACATCAGAAGAGCATTACATTATGAAGAAACTGCACCTCTATTGGATGACGCTCTGCCAAACAATATCACTTTAATTCTCTGAACTTTATTGCTTTATTAATTCTGGGATTGGCAAGCATGCTGTCAGAAAGCCAGGAACAGGAACATATTCATATTGTTTATTTGAATAATAAGCATCAAATCTTCTTCAGCAACTAACATAGATTGTGCAACTCTCTGTCTCACAGTCTAGTGAGCAGGCTTCATGTCTGCCGCCTACAAAGGAAGCATCCGTAATGAAACAGACTGATTAGGAATGCTCTAGATAGACTGCAACTGCATACTGCACACAAATAGCAGTCTTCAACAGAGACTTACAGCTATGCTGAAAAACGGTTTAAACCAGCCTAAACTGGTCCCTACTAAAACCTGCAAATAGACCAACAAACCAACGACTGATTCCAATACAGTTTCACTTTAGGATGTTGCTAAGCTAGCAACACAATATTACAGCACAATATAAAATACATGAATAAAAAACTAAAATACCATATCGACATTATTGGGTACAACAGTCCATTTTTCATTAGCCTTTTTTTTTGTAATCACTTTTTCATAAGGAACTATACACAATTAAAGATATAATAAATATACATCAATTAAACTAAAATACTACATACTAGAATTAGGTACAATAGTGCATTTTTTCTTAGATTTTTAAAATAAATTAATCCACCCCCCTCTATTCTTCTTCATAATGAGCTATACATAAGTAAATATATAATAAATGTAAAAAGAAATACTAAAATAAAATACTACATACTAGTACTGGGTACTACATCCACTTTTTAGGCTTTTAAGAAATAAAAAAGTAAATTTTTTATACTTTTATATATATATATAGTATATACATACACATGCACACTACATATGAGTATTGGGCACAATGGTTCATTTTTTATTTTCTTTTTTTTTTAAATACATTTAGTTGAGTATTTCTAACTATGTAAGTAAATAAATTATGCATAAAAAAAAAAAATATATATATATATATATACAGTATATCTCAGAGCAAAAGAGGACGCATAGTCCACTGTCAAACCTTTTCAAAAACCAAAAACCCTTAAATTTCATTACATTTATGCTTAAAAGAAAAAGAAAAAAACTATTTGCCACAGAGATTTTCTCTTTTAATGCAAATATCTAAACATAAATCAAGATGTATTTACTTAACCCTTGTGCGTTACACATAGGTCCATTGTGGACAAAAAAGTCTGTCAAAAAAATTTTAAGCTTGGGAGCACAGAGTTAAGTTTGGTCTCATTTTAAAGAAGACCCATGGCACTTCCCAGCCATCGTGTGTCTATTGTACTGCAGGAACGGCTGTTAAAACCCACGGGTTCCTCCATTCATTTGAAAGAAAGCTATTGTAGCATCTGTTCTAGGAGGACGGGGAAGAAAAGAAGTGCTTCTCTGAGGTGAACGTCTCGGCAGGTGATAAATGTACTGGAGGTGCATGGAGATGGAAGCCTCTCGGAAGCAGCGGAGTGCGGAAACAAAGCCTGCGAATCCCAGCCGCGTTATGGCTAGTGCGGATCTAAAAGGATTAGACGGAGAGACATCAATTTACTGTTGCTAGCGGCTGCGCCGATCTGATTATGATCTTATTACCTGAATAGTTCTGCAGCTCTGTATCCTTGAACCTATGATATTAAAGGTTTAGTTCACCCAAAAAATAAAAATTTGAATTATGAGTCATTTAATCAGCAAATCGTTCCAAAACCTTATGTGGAAAATAAAATAGGATATTTTTAAGACTGTCCAAGCTGCTCTTTTCCATATAAATGAAAACATATTGTGAGCAGAAGCTGGTTTGCACTAGAAAGGCACCATATATGATGTATGATTCCAGCACTATATTCCAAGTCATGATAGTGAATGCTATACAATATGATATATTATTATCTATTTAGCATATTCAACAGAGATAGCTCACTCAAAAATGATTATTCTGTCATCATTCACTCACCTTGGTGTTGTTTCCAACCTGAGTGACTTTATTTTTCTGCACACATAAGAAGATATTCTGGGGTTCAAACAACATTGGACTCCATTGAGTTTCATTAAAAGAAAACACTGAAACCTTTTTCAATATATCTTTTATGTTCCGACGAACAGTGAAAGTCATACAGGTTTAGATCAACATGAGGTTGAGTAAAGAACGACAGAATGTTTACTTTCAGGGGAACTGTTTAACATCTGTTTGTGTTAGTTTGCTGAAATATTCTCTTTTTTATTGGATTAATAATCAATTTACATAAATTTCTTATCCAAAATAAATGTAAAGTCTTTATTGTCAATATTCAACTTTATATAGAGTAAATTGTCTTTCCAGTTACATTTATGTTCTCAGTATATTTTTGAGAATAATTCTTAATCTATCCAAAACCATTTAAACTCAGTCACGATCAGTGCTGTTATGGTTCTCTAACTACAACTAGTAAAAGTTTCATAAATTGAAATAAAGCTGAAAAAATACTTATTAAATGCAAAACTTATACTGTACAAAAATGTGAACTTATTCTGAAATAAAACAAGTTTAAGTACAACAATTACCAAAACTGAAATAAAATAAAAAATTATAAAAACATTTATTTTAAAGCCTTGCCAACAGAATGAAAGCCTATTAACAAAAAATGCATCATTTTACAGTTAAATGGCACTGCGATTAAAAATAGCCGTTTTAATGGGTCTCAATGGGGACATTTTTGTCCTTAAGGTCCTGAGAGGAACATTTTTTTGTACCTAGTGCAAAACAGATTTATTAAAGGAAATGGAAGTGAAATAGTAAAATTCCAATAAAAATACACACCTGTGCCAAAATGTATGCAGTTGGCAATAACACAGGCAAAATGATTAAAAAAAAAAAAAAAACCTGAAAAAGACAAAAATGTCCAAAAGGTTGCACAAGGGTTAAAAGCAAAATAACTAAATTAAGTCACTTTGCTCTTAAAACAAGAAAAAACATCTGCCAACAGACTTAGAAAAATAAACATGTTTTTATAGTTTATTTTTCTTATCCCACTGGCAGATTTTTTTTTCTTGTTTTAAGCATGCAAGTTACTTCATTTTGCTACATTTTCAGAAAACAAGACAAGATTGTCTTCAAAGTAAATATATCTTGATTTAGGAATATTTAGATATTTGTGCTGGAAAATAACACAAAAATACTGAGAAAGAAAATGATTTTTTGCAGTGCACTGATTAAGCAGTGTTTATATAAATGATAAAATCAGTATGAAACTCTACTAGATGTTCACTATATAAACCCAGACCTTTTCCACTGGATCCCGGCAGAAAAACACAAGCATTGATCCTCTGGACAGTAACTGCTGATCTAATGAGGGCAGTGAGTGCAGATCCCTGCGGGTGACTAACCTCATCGTAGCTCTGACTGGTGGCAAACAGCGTTTTGAACTTGGATCCGAAGCCCACTATGTTGAATAAGCATGCTGGGAAAAGACTTTTCAGAATCACAACCATTGCGTCCTGTGAACGCACACAAAAGGAAGAGGTCAACATAAACGATTCTGCATTACTCATTAAAAATATGTATATTATTTCAATTCTATGTATTACTATATATATATATATATATATATTAAATCACGTAAAATTACTTAAACTTTGACTAAAATTAAAATGAAAATAAAAAACTGAAATTCAAATAAATCAAATTCTATACAATAAATACTACAATAGAATATAAATAAACACTGTTCCCAACTAGGTAAAGTATTATAATTCAAGCAAACTGTTGTATTTACATTTCTAGAAAGAACAAACACGGTCAAACCTGTGATGTGTTTTGATGAGCCGCATTTGAGAATATTACCTTTTGGTTGAACTGTTTCCTTAAATGTAAAAGGTTTTCTATATTTTTATTATTACTTTATTATCAGAGATGGCTTCCAAACTCATTAGTGAATGCTTCATGACCTTGTTGAATAAGTCAATGTGTGCTGTTCAGTAAAAAATAAAATAAAATAAAATAAACAAGATCTTGAGTTGATGAACACTTTCCAAATGTCCTAAAAATCCACCAAATGTTCAGATTAATACATTAGCACAACCTTTTAATTACACAGTACAATCGTATTTGATGGACGCTAACAATTATCTGAGATTACAATGCAACAGCACATTATACAGCAGAGCACGGCACTAGCAACGCCAAGGTCATGGTTCGATTCCCAGGGAATGCATGAACTGATAAAATATACACCTTAAATGCAATGTAACTTGCTTTGGGAAAAACGCATCTGGCAAATGCATGAATGGGAATGTGCAAACTCTGACCTGGTGAACCTGGCGTGGCTGCGGAGCAACTCAATAACTTTCCCCGTGTTACTAACGGCTCCGTCGGTCAGGAGGAAGAGCAGGCGAGGGTGACCTCTCTGCATGGGCTGCCGTAGGATCCAGTTGAGAGGAGCCAGTATGTTTGTGCCGCCCATGTCAGCCCGGATCTTCTTCATATGCTCACAAGCCAACGCCAAGCTCTCCTGTGAAATAAATGAGGAGATGTATTTTGTATTTTGCATTACTCGTTTAAAACGATTTCTTTTCCACAAAAATATTAAGCAGCTAAAAAAGGGTTTTCAGCATTGCTGAGAACCAGTAACAACTCATAATAATTATTATATATTTAAAAAATTATATATAATTTTATAAGTGACCTCTCTGCATGGGCTGCCGTAGGATCCAGTTGAGAGGAGCCAGTATGTTTGTGCCGCCCATGTCAGCCCGGATCTTCTTCATATGCTCACAAGCCAACGCCAAGCTCTCCTGTGAAATAAATGAGGTTTGTTATAACAAACTATAAAAAACTAAACTATAGTGACACTTCTGCAAACAAAATAATTCAGTTAATCAGTATTTTTATATTGTGTTTGACAGATCCAATATATCTAAACGTCTTTAAAACAAGACATTTACTTGAGAAGCAAAAATGTGTAAGATAAGACATTATTTTCAGACTATATATATATATATATAT